GGGCAAATATTGATTTTAATCTTGTTATCATGCATGAGAAACACAGAGATGATCATTGAAGACTTACCAGGAAGCCTTTATTTTTTTGCTACTTTTTCCCTTACTGAGCATTAAAAAAAATTATCTAAGCTCTTTTCTCTTAGCACACTAGAGAAACTAAAATATTAATATATGATATTTTAATAATAAATTTCTAATAAAACCGGCAAAGCAAGCTCTTTTGGTACTGTGCATTTATAACACACCACTCTCCAAACAGTGGTCAGAGTTGTTCTTTGGAATCTCAGGTTCTCCTGTTAAAAATTAATGCAAATTGTTTTTCATTCCACAATAATCACAGAATTGAGCTGTCCTTTTGGAACAACCTTGTAGGAGCTCATGAAAATCAGAAAATAGGTGAAGGACAATTATTTCATGAGCTTACAAATACTTTATTTTTTCTTAAGTTTGGAAGTGCCTTAGCACACTGAACAGAAGATTCATTTAGAAGTGGATTAGAGACATTTACATCTAAATGCTTGATGCATACTAATAAACTCATACAATTTTGGTATTCTCTCCACAAGAGAGCAGATAAAGGGACAAAAATGTTGTAGATTTCAGTTACTTATTAATGAAGTTTTTATTGGAAATTCTTACTTGGGAAATTCTTCAAGTTAATTATTTGCCAAATATTTTACAAGTGAACTCATTATTGTGCATTCTTAACAGTTAAATAGCTACTTGAATTAACTTGAGCTTCTCTATTGTGAACTTGTGAGACTGTTTCACATTAACAGGCTGGTTTTCTGTTGTCTTACTTGGGTATAATCATTACCAGCATTGTAAATGGGAAACAGGAGTTCAGTTTCCAGGTGCTAGTTGTTTAGGATTTAGGTAGAAATTACATGACTGCTTGAAGTACTTAATAACCTCTGTTATGTTTATGTCTGTTAGACATTGAACATATCCATAGAGCTTCAATGCTCATTACAGAAAGTTTATTCTGATAAATCTGTTCTTGTGCTTCTGGTACAGCATTGGAAAAGTTCCCTTAGCAGCATGCAGGGTACCTGCAAACTTATTGAGCTTGTTTGCATTATTAATTTATGGAGTATGATTTCAGCTACTCATTGCCTCTAGCCATTATCAGATTTTTCATGTGATAAAAATACTGCCTGATAGCATTTTAAGACGTGTATGTGTGTGTGCCATGCCCCATCTCTCAATACATATATGTATTGATCTCTGTATATAAAATACTGCTGGGTTCCTTTAATTGTGTAGCACTGTTGTGTTCAGTCAGTATTTTTAGAGTTGTTGAAAACTGGTCAGTCTGTATCACCTCCTGCATGAATGAGGTTGTTGCTACTCAAACCAGCCTTCTTTCCTGAAAAGTTACAAATTGTTACCTTTATTAGATAAACAAAAAAAAAATTAAACTTGATCCTGTGAGGCAGAGTGCCGGAAGTTGCAAAAATGTAGTAGTGAAAATGGTGTAGAACATCCTTTATTGCAGGAGGTTAGTGATTGTGTTTCTAGTTGTGAGGAGCCCAGTTGCCCCGAGCCTGGTGCAGAGGGTGTGGCTGCAGGCTGGGGAGAGCACAGCTGTGCTATCCAGGGCTCCTCCTGCTGATCCTGGGCTCAGCTGGGTTCTCCTGCCTCTCTCCCAGCTCCCACGTGTTCCCAGGCTCTGCTGCTGCTCTTTATTTTGGTTGTACTGGGTTATGCATTATCCTGGATTAGATACATACCATGAATTCTCTTAGCATCCAAAATTTGAACCAGTCAGGTTGCATGTGCTTTTGGGAGATTTAGCAGATTTTTTCAGAAGTTTAACAGTTTTTGAGGCTGTGTGTTAGGTGGAGAGTGTATTATCTAGGTGGATCCTTCAGTATCTCCTGTTATTTTTGTGATTTGTGTATTCAATGTAGAAATATTTTTATTAAACATGATTAGGCTTTCTCTGTAAGGGTGGCAACCTGTAATTTCTCTTCTGGTTTCCTGTCAAAGTTTAAACAAACTGCTCTCGTCTCCTGAGATCATTCTTTGACTCTTGGAGTGAGATGGAAGTGTTGACTGCTGTTCCGTGTCTGGAACAGCTTGTGACTGTTTACTGGAAAAAAGCAGCAGCTCCATTGTAGAAATGTGCAGTGTAATATCTCTGAATAGCTCTGTTGTTGTCTTGGGTAGGAGAAATCACCTACTCAACTACAAACACAAGAAGGGTTTGTTGTGCAAGTCCTGCCCTTACCACTCGTGTTGTTTATCTACTTCCCTAAATTTTCATTTTGAAAGGTTTACTATATATATAGATATATATATATATTTTTTGCACATTTTAGATGTCCAAATAAGGTATAAAAGATGGGTCACATAAAATTCCAAACCCGAATCTTGAAAAAAAAAAAAAGTCAATTTCTAGAGGTGTTTGGAAACTGCTTCTATTAAATTTGCGAACTTTCTCATTCTTCGGCTGAAGTTGGTGTGCACACATTCTCTGGCCTGCCATACCTTAATCCTTAGGTTCAAAATGGACGGCTCTGGGTTAGGGCTGCAAATCTGAGAGCAGAAGATAAGCTAGGCCAGAAAATCCAGAATGTATTTTTGTTGGATGAAATGAAACTAAATGCAGTTGCACTAAAATAGGATTAGAATTAACATGTGGCAGTGTAGCCACACAATTATGAGGAATGAAGGAGGGAAGTAAAAAGGACTGGCTTTGGAAAAAGAATGATGTAGCAGGCATGTTTTAAACTGTGGTAAATTCAAATTGAAGATGTGTGAATGTTTTTCATTTCTGTTTGGTTACATCAAAATAATGAAGCACTGAAATAGTTTGATAACAGTAATTTGCTTTTAGAAGTGTCTCTTACGTGATAGTAAAAAAATATTATACTTGGTAACAGATAAGTGAATGTTACCAAAAAAAATCTATGAAGTTGCATTTCGTTTCATGGTGTATTTAGCTCTCCATATTTTTTAATTAGAAATGCAGTGACACACTGTCAGTATGTAGAGAGAGAGGAATAAAAATTACTTAGAACTCAGTTTATGTGGAGGTTGTTTTTCTTCACACACAGGAGGTGACTTAGAACTTCATGTTGAATAGTTGCAGACTTAATACCAACACTGAGGAGAAATTGCTTCAATAAATGGTCTGGGCTTTTGCAGTTATTTAAGTAAATACATTATTTGAAAAAATGTTGGGCATTAAGAAGTTTCAGGCCAGACATGTATTGAAACATTTTCATTACAATGTTTAACAGAATTCAGGCTTGTCATTCTCATGTACCCCGTTATAAGACATTGTTTTCAGCAGCTGTGGACTTGGATGAGCTTTTAGCTATTTGTACTGAAGCTGTCAAAACCTGATTTTTTATTTTCATATTCAAAAGCTTATTTAAGCACATTTTAGCACTGTTTGAGGAAAGACTTTAAAGCTCCAGGAGATCTGTTTATAGATATTTTCACAGTTCCTGCCTGGCCTAGAATACTCATGTATATAATAACACAGGTCAATGAAACTTGTCTCCTTACATTTTCACACAATCACAGAACACAGATCATAATTCAAAAGCAGAGATGCTGCTGCTGCTCTTAGTGACTTCCAGGCAGATCCTTGATTGTATCAGGGGCAAGAGATCCAGTAGGACCAGTAGGACAGCTGGGTGAAATAGCTGAGGGGCTGGAGGGCCTGGAGACAGCAGGAGGTGCATTTCTCTCAAGTGTCTGGGACACTAAAGGCAGTCATTTCAAGCTATGGTTACTTGGCTGCTGTGGTAATCACCTGAGGCAAGACCTGCTCTGCAGCAGGAGCCAAATGGGGAATTTATTCCAGGCTGTGGTTCTGCTCCCTGGACGTGCAGTAGCTGACTGCTGCCAGTGCAGCTGCCCCAAGAGCTGCTGTTCCTTGCAGAGCATGACTGTGGGATGGCATTTCAGGCAACTGGGACTGAGCATGCCAGACCTATTAGCAGCAAATTGGGCTTCAGCAATCTTTAGTGCTTAGTTTCTTCTAAGCAGAATCTCAGAGCCAATATGAAATTACACTTTTCTTGGAACACACTTGTACTCCCACACTATTTATGGTAGACAGCAGCAGCAGGAGGTGGTTGATCTGATGACAGAAGTGAAAGCCCTGTACAGGAATAAAAGGAATTACTAAGTTAGATTGCTGAAGGAAGAGTTACAGTTTAGCTTTCAGAAATCTTGGCTGTAGAACTGAAAAGTATCATTTTGTGTAGTGATTCACTTTTTCTTTTTAAATGGTCCTCAGTCTCATTTGCCTATATGCTTTTTTTATTTTATAGCTTATGCCAGACCAATTAGCATAATTTGTATTTTTCTTCATTTGAATCTTCTGTTTTATGAAGGAAATCCAGAAATATCTCTTTAATTAGACAGTCACAGTAAAAAGTTGGAAATGTGTTTGTGTTCTGTTTTTTGACGCCACCTGAAAATGTCTTTAGAAATGAAAATGTGATGTGGCCTGATGATTCTGAGTTCAGGAAGTTCATAAAATTCTCTGAAGTACTTAACAATAGCCAGCTAATTTAAGTTTTTAAAATAAATACTACCTGAAGTACAGGAATGTATGCTTGTTTAAAGGACAGTGTTGTTCAAACACATGAATTTTTAATAGTGGAGAATTGCAGAGCTTGATCTCCAGATCTAAGGGAAGTGGTGTGTGGTTTTGTTAGGTTTGACTGTGGGTTGGGTTTCTTGTGGAGTTTCTTTTGGTTTTTGTTATTTGAGAATTGTTTTGGTTTTAAGTTGGTTGTTTTTGTTGGTTTTGGGTTTTGTTTTATTTTAACTACTGCACAATATTGTCCATTTTGGAATGGTAGTTTTCTCTTTTCCCTGGAGTGGTGTTAGATAAACTCCATGTTTACCCACAAGAGGTGGATAACTTGAAACTGGTAAAGAATTAGGGGTTCCTTGGTACTACAGACTTGGAATTCTTGTACCTCCAGGATTTATATAGGCTTCTCCTTTCCCCTCCCTTTCTTCTGTTTCAGGTGAAATTGTGGTGAACGAAGTAAATTTTGTAAGAAAGTGCATTGCAACAGACACGAGCCAGTATGATCTGTGGGGCAAGCTGGTTTGCACTAACTTCAAGATTTCCTTTATTACAGATGACCCAATGCCACTGCAGGTTGGTTATTGCTCCCATGGCTACATCATGAATGTGAAAGTGGAATTATTCCACAGTCAATCTGTCTCATATCTGATATAAGTGGATGCCTTCTAAGCAGGCATCAGGATGAGGTTCCACTGTCCTGTTCTGAGTGTGTTGCTGTTTCCATTCATATCAGCACAAGAGCAAGAAATTTGTACAGAAGTGCATCCAGCTCCATTCACCTCCCTGGATGGAGGCTTCCCCAGGAAGTGGTTTTACAAAGACAAAGCAGGAATTATACACAGATGTGTCCCTTCTGAAGGAGCTGTTTGCAAATGTCCCTTAGACTAGACAAGTGTCAGATCTCCATGTGGTGGGGTTTTATTGGTGTTACTGATGGAGGGCAAAGTAACCACAAAATGAGAATTCATGTGGACGAAGCAACAAGAGGAGGGGAGAACTCTTCTGCTTTGTCAAAGCAGAGCTCATGACATTCAAAGCCATGATCAGTTTTTGAACAGCACAGCATACAACACTGGAAATCCAAGTAGTGAGCTATGTGTTATTTTCAGTAGAGTTTGCACTTCCATTTGGGGCTTTTAAAGGAAATGTTTCATTAATTAAAGTTATGTATAGCTCTGAAAGTAGCTGGATGCTTATTCAATAATAGTTAGGAAATTTGACCACAGCTACTTCAAAAGGTTGATTTTTGGCACAAAGTAGTTGTTAAAATTTGTCCCTGAAAGTCGAATTAATATTTTTTTCTTTCCATACATAAAAAAGTAATAATAATTACAGATTTCATATATTCCATATATATACATGTATTTTATAGTTCAAATTGTATTGGATTTCTAAGAGTAATTTTTGATGCTAATTCAGTAAATTCAGTGCAAATAGAGAGGTTATTTTGCATATTCCACTGGGGTTTCTGAACTGCTGGGTGTGCAGTTGAGCAGTCTCTAACCTCTAATTACCTGGGGATAGGCAAGGGTAGTACCTGTCAGAAAAGCCTAGGCATGCCTGATTTTTATCATAGTTTCTTTAAGGTTGTACTGTATATCTGGTTGCAAACTGCAGAGCTGCAATTAATGGCTGTGACTTCATGTGTTTCAGAAATTCCATTATAAAAACCTCCTCCTTGGTGAGCACGATGTCCCACTCACATGCATTGAGCAGATTGTCACAGGTATGTCAAAAATAGCTAAGAATACTGACAGGCTTTATTCTTATTCAGTACAAAACTGCTACCTCCCTGTTAAATTCTGCAGAATTGTCGACACATGAGGTCTTATGTCATTACTCTTCCTTGATTTGAAGTATTTGCTTTATTTAAAATTAGGATAAAAGCCTCAAATGCTGAATAAATCTTGAGGTGCCATGCAGGAGACTTAGTTGGGTCTTTATAATATAAACTTTATATTTGTAACTACCATACTGGATCAACAGGTGTTGTAGGAGAGACATGTTATAGCAGTACAAAATTTTGTTAGCAATGTTTTTACATTGAATCATTGAATCTCTGCCAGTAAATACACTAAATTGCAAAAATAGCTTATAGAGTGAGACATAGATGAGATTTCTGACAAGAGAAATGCTGTAGTTTTCAATCCTCTCTAATTCTTAGCAAGTTAATAACTGGTGATCTCCAAAAATCTGCAAATGGCAATTGACACTTAATCTAAAGAAACAAAATAATTCTTGTGGAGAACCAGGTTTTTATTTGTTGGATTCCTTAGACTAACCTATTTGTTAAGAATGTTTTTCATCTTGTAATTGTAAAATTTCATAAAAGTGATAACTTTTCAAATTTTGTTTATGGCATGAGCTATTAAACACTTGGTTTTCTGACTGTAGGTAATCTAAATTATTGTTTATAAGTTTTCAATGCCCAAAGGTGGTTGTGATCACTGTGAAAAGATTAATGTGTTCCTGAGGAAGAACATGATGAAGAAATGCTAGTTTTTTTACAACAAAGAGGTGCTATTGACCTGTTATATTGTCTTGCACTGGCCCACATTTGCTGCCCCTTTTCTAAAACATGAGGTTTACCCTAAGTTTAGTGAAACATAAGCTTTTGCTAGCAGGAATCAACAGATTTTCTACCTGAATCAAAATGTGCTAACAAATAAACTTCTGGCAGCAACATTACTGTACCTGTTTGAGCCAATCTTGTGTTTCCTTACAGAACACAGTCAAATAAGTTTTTCTTCTTTGCAGTTAATGACACCAAGAGGAAGCAGAAGGTCCTTGGTCCCAACCAAAAGCTGAAATTTAATCCAACTGAGTTAATAATTTATTGCAAAGACTTCCGTATTGTCAGATTTCGATTTGATGAAGCAGGTCCTGAAAGTGCAAAAAAGGTATTGTTATCTTTTTATGAGTTTCTGCCTTGTAGTCATTACCTGTAGCAACAGCTGTGCTGATAAGAATGTTTTGTATTGTTATGTTTTGATAGAGAAGTGGGGGGAAGAATTGCAAATTATTCTCATTCTGGTTACAGGAATATCTAGACATTTGGAGTCAAATCTATTAGGGAAAAAATTTAATGTGGTGTATTAACTGTTCAGTATCATATAAGATAAACCAGTATTTCTTGTCATATCTGTTGTACTTTAAAAAGTTATTTATTTATTTATTAAATAAATCTTTTTAAGGACTGGAATCAGACTGTTGCATTGCAGCTGTACAACAGATGTTTGAATTTTTATGGAAAATGTTTCAAGCTTTGATACATTTTCTGAAAGTCATAAGCTTAATTTACCCAGAGGCTGAATGTACTGTCTTACGGATATCCTTAGTGGTGTCACACAGCAGTTCTCCAGCAAGCTCTTGGAATCATCATTTTGTCCAATTTACATGAACCTGGGTTCTTTCTCAACATTTTGTTATCAAAGCCTTGTACACTCTTGGCAGGAGGAATTACTGGGCTTAGTCCAGTCCATTCCTGGGGGTTCCCTTCCTTGCCCACTGGTGCCTTCCCTGCGCTCGGCTGCCCTGACCTCCGCGGCACAGCCGGCGTTTCATAAGGAATGACCCACTTTGCTCTCAGAGCTTAACAGTTCCCCTTCTCAGTAGGATCAGGTTTGAGTTTAGCCCTGTAAGTCCCAAGGACCATCTGCCCAGGCATAAGTCTGTGTGCAGTTACTGACGGAGAGCTGCTGAACCGGCTCAGCCCCTTCTCCCTCCCCAAGGTGTGCAGGCAGGAGCCCGTCATGAACCACCCTGCTCTGGCCTTGGCCCTGTTCTGGCTGCCCTGCTGCCTGTGCTGGTTGGAGCCTTCCACGTTTGGCATCTTTCCCCAGTCATTCCCTTGCACAGCTTCTCCAAAATCCCCCTGGAGCTGCCGTCTCCTGCAATATCTTTACAGCAACTGTTTCTAATTGGCTGTCACAGCAAAGGAGAGTGATTAGCCCAGAGGAGGAGAGAACAAACTCAGCATCTCATTAACATTCTTTGTGCTGCTTTTTCTTATGCAAGAGCAAACAGTGAAACCATTTTATGAAGGCCTTTACATTAGGCATTTATGATTACATGGTCTTAGGTGGTTTCTTCTGATAAGAACAGCTAGGTCTAGAGAGCCAGAGCCTCTGTGGTTATAGAGCTTGTGCTGGTGGTGACCAAAAGTGTAACAACTGCCATTGTCAAATAGCCGAACGTGCTCGGTGGAGAGGAGGAAAACTGGTACAAGTATCAGCTATGTGGTTACTGTTGCAGTTTCAGTGCATCAGGTAGGTTACTGCGGCTTTGTGTGGGTGTAGTACCACAAGCAATTCTACTGAAGGGAGATCAGGTTCAACTAATTTAATCTAGTGTTTCCATAACAGCATTATTCTATTAGCATTAAAATATAAATGTATAGAACCATGAGATCCTTAGATCCTCAGATACAGGTTTCCCTGTATCAGGATTTTGCTTAAATTATTTTGGGATGCTGGTGAACACATCTGGAGTGATCTTACACAGCATATTGAATGGAGTTGTTTTGTTCTTTCTGACATTTAGATGTCATGCTGGCACCACAGTATGGAAAGATTTTATCTGGTTTCTGTTTCTTCCCTTCAGATAGTACATACGCAAGGTCGTCCTGGTATTTAAAAACAGAAGAGAGTGATCAGGCCTCCTTAAAGTTATGAAGGGCCTCTTTAATCTATATTTACATCCAACTGTTTGTACAAGAAAATTTTGGTAGCTGTCTAGTTAGAAGTAACTGTGTGTGCCTAACTTTTGTAGGGAAGACCAAGACTTAGAGTGTACCTGAACTCTGATGTGAGGGGAAGCCTGCTCTTGGGCTGAGGGTGCATTGCTGTCTGACTGGGAGAGTGCCATAGGAGAGGGCTGACCGTGGAATTGGGGTTCTGGATGGGGGGTCCTGCATGGCAATTCATGTTTCAGAATGAGCTTTAAATATACGGAGTAGTTAGAAGGACAACAGATGCTGACTTTGTGCAGTTAAGGAATTTGTTTGAAGCGTAGTTCCTTGCACGTACTGGAAATACTCAGCAGCATCCAGTGACATAAATTGGTGTTGGCAAAGAGAGTGTAATCTGTTCCTAAGGAGGTGTCTCTGTTTGCTGAACAGGGCATAAGGGAGAATAACTAATTAAGCTGCCTTACTAGAATAGAGATTATTCCAAGTCTCTCTTTGAGGATCTCAGAAAGATCCTCTTTCCAAGGATCTCTTTGGATGCTGTGAAAAGAAGGATCCAAGTTTGGAATCAGGCTTCTGATGTGGACAAACTGACAGACTTGACTACACATAGACACATGGGTAATGTTGGCAGAACTTTCAGAGGCCTTTTTGTTTGCCTTTAAGCAGAAACATTGTGAGAACACATTCATTTATTTTCAGGTAAATTATTATAGAGAAGCTTAAAAATCAGTTCTGTTAGAAAAATAGCCTCAGCACTTATTGCAGCCAGTACATGCTAATAAAATACTGTCTCAGCATTAGTCAGCCAGGTAAATATTTTCGTCCTCATTTTTATTAGTGGATATTTGGGAAACAAGCATTAAGGGAAAATAGAAGGAATGGAAATTTGCGCTCACCACTGTTTAGCAGTTTAATTTTGTTTTGTCTCTAAAATAAAGCGATAGAGTCTCCAAAGGAAGGAAAGCCAGATGGGTGTGGGAGGAAGTGGAGGATGGGGAAGCAAGGGTAAGCAAGTTGGGGAAGTCTTAAGTTAGGCAGTGCAAAAAAAAAGAAGCATTTCACATTCCTTAGAGGAAAGGAATTATTTTGTTCCAAAAATGACAGCAAGCGGTCAAACTGAAAACTCCTGCTAGTTTTTAGCCACTGCAGTATTGGACATTAGACTGAGAAAATAAAATGTATGAAAAGGTGAGGGTGTAGATCTTCTGACTGTTAGGTGATGCCCAGTGTGCTGCCTCACTGTGCATAAGGATCCTGGCAGTGCCCCAGGGTGGCACACACCCTGTGCCTCCATGAGTATATCTCCATTTTCTCATCCCTTTCTCTTCTGTAACTCTCTCAGTTCTTTACTCCAGGAAGCTTTTTTGAATGAGTATGAGAGTTGTTTCAGAATCACATGCTCAATCAAAACAGGAGGAAAATTTTAATCTCAAATCTTGTTTCCTGTGCAATCAAAAGTAGCCTTTCCTACATCATAACACTTGGGATCGAGGGGAAAATTTTTTCCCTTATTGTTATGAACAATAATATGAAACTCGTAAGAGTTGTGGACACATGGTCCTGACCCTTTCTAATGTGTTCCTCCTGCCTCCCCAACTCTATCACCTTGTTCTAATTGTTTATACAGATCACAAAATTGGTGCTGTTTCAAGGCACTGGGAATGCATAAGATACTGTCTTTGGAGGGGATGAAGAAAACTTTTTTTAGAAGTAAACTTGCAGAATCAGAATGGTTTGGCTTGGGAGGACCCTTAAAGCTCATCTCATTCCACCCCCTGCCATGGGCAGAGACACCTTCCACTATACCAGGTTTTTCAAAGCCCTGTCCTGGTCTTGAACGCTTCAGGGATGGCACAACCATAACTTCCCTGTGCAAAGGTTAAAGATATTTTAAAAAATACAAATGAATTTTAAAAAATTCTCCTAATGCTGAATGCTTATTTTCCCAATAGGTTTTCCAGCCTAGGAAAATGAACAAAACCTGTTTGTGGGACTTGATGTAGTCCTGCCTGTCTGACTTTCTACCACAGGTGCCTGCTTGGGATAGGAATTGCAGTAGCAATGGAAAATAGTATTTTTCCAGAGAGTTCATAAGCCAGGTAGCCTGGCTTAAGGAAGAAGGGAAAATCCAGGGCTGTGCTAATTCAGCACATCTGAAATGTTGTTGTTCACAACTCTTCTGCAAGAGCATTAGCAATGCTTTAAAGCTCTTGCCCTTGGTAAAATTCCTGTTGAAGAGGAGGGTGTGCCCTGAAAGTATCATTTATTTTCCTCAGATAGGGGTTGAACAGGGGACACTGACATAGGGAAATAGCTTTTGTACTATGAAATAACTACAGCCATTGTGTTTACTGCTTTTAATAAATGAGCTTTCCAACAAGCAGCCTATTCTCTTGTTATTTGTCTGAGCCTAAATATCTTCAGCTTTACACAATTGTAAATTGGCAAGAATACCAAACATTTTTGAGTTTGATATGAGACCGCTTCCTGTAGAACATGCTTGTCTTCCAATTTAGAGCGTTCTACTTATGGCCATAATCTGCTGAGATCTGTGGAATGTGCTTGTCTTCTGAATCTCTGAGACAATAAAGCTATTATAGGGATTTAGTGAGGAATAAACAGAAAATTAGTATGTCTTTGGTACTTGCTTAGTGTATCTATGAGTGGAATTTTTCTAAAATACAAAAATAGAGACAGTAGCAGGAAAAATCTATCACTTTTTAAAATAAGAGAAATAGAACCTGTGGGTGGACTGTTTCGCCCATGCAATACATGGTGTGAGTTACATCTATTCCATGGAACACCCAGAGCATTTTCCAGCTCCTGCTTTATTTAAAAGCACAACCATGGTCTCATATTTTTTGTGGATCTGGATGGTTACTATCTTCACCCCACCATTTTATCCCTCTTCACACAGCACACACATATTCCCTTTTTCAATTGTGGCAAGCAAATGACAGAGATTTCAGCTGCTGCCTATTTAAAAATAGGTTTTACTGTATTCCTGTTGTGTTATTTGGCAGCACAATGGAATTTTTTTCCTGCAGTTTGTCCTGAAGCCTTGAGAGTAGATTAGCATAGTAAAAGGCTTTCAACTTTCGCTCCATAAATGAAGATGAGGAGTAGCTCTGCTAGAATCAGTTACTGTAGTGAAAAGCTACATAAAAAAATGGAAGTCAAAATGTGCATATACACAGATTTCCATTTTATTCATTGTTGATGATAGCCAAAAGTAATCTGTTAGAAGTGGCCAAATATTGTTGAGTAGCTGGCTTCTTCTGCTTCAATTCATACACTGAAATAACAAGGTTTAGTAAAATGTGTGTGGCTTCCAGTTATGTCATTAAACATTTTATCAAATCCTGCTTGTAACTGTTCATTAGGAAAGTCTGCTATACTGTTTTCCAGGGACACTTTTACTGCTTGGGTTTTTTGGGGGGCTGTCACCCCTGGAATGTTCTGTCCTCCATTTTCCTTTGCAGTTTCATTGTGGAACAGAAGGTGTGGGGAGAACAGTTAAAGAATCCGTTGTTCTAAGACTCAACTGGAATTTTTTTGTTGAGTGTTTGTGAAACAACATTTTCAGCTCAAGTTAGTCTACTGTCATTGCTGGTTTTATAAATAATGAGGACTCTCCCCATCAAAAGTCAAAGTATATAAAAATACAGTAAAGGTTCCATAACACCAGGGATGTTGCATACAAACAATAAAAATACAGCAGCTTTCTCTATGCAGATCTCAGCATAACTGAGCTCTCAAGCTGCCAGCACTGGTACTCCTTCAGTTCTATGGTGCAAGTCTTTCTGTTATTCCTATCACAATAAGGACACTTTCCTTCACAAAAAGAAAACAATTTCTTGGATGCACAGGATTATTTTCAAAAATAATGTTCAAAACTGCAGAACTCTGAATAAATTTTGTAAATGTGTTTCTAAATATGAAAAGTCGGGAAAAGTTGAAGGGAAGATAAAAGGAAAAAAACATTAGGGTTTTTGTCAAATCTTTTGTATTTATTAGTGAATATCTACATTCAGAGAGACGGAGACTAGAAATGCTTGATGAGATTTTAAGTCTAGGATCTAATCCTAAATCATGTGCTGCATTCTTAATTTTAATAATCTTAGGGAAAGAACCAATAAGGTTTTCTTAAAAGGAAGCACACATGAAAAATTTCCTAGCCTAACTGACAACTGTGTAGCCCAAATATCTGTCAAATGCTGTTAAATACTGATACCAGATTTTAGTTCAGGACATGCCTGAACTGTTAATTGTTCAAAACAGTCCTGGTAAAATTCCATTATGTTGTTGCTGTGTTTTTCCCCTCTTCCCTAAGCACTGATTGCTGGCTGCTGTCAGAGCAGTGCTAGGTTGGACTTTTTGAACTGACCCTGCACACTCTTAGGTTCTTCTGCTGGATTGATTAGATACTCTTTTCATTAAAGAAAATATCAAAAGACTGATTTTTGGCTTTTTCACAGCTCTGCATATTTGACACTGTTGCCATTAAGGGCAATATTTTTTGTCTGTATAAATAACACATATAAAAATATAATAACAATAATAAATGTCGCTTTCCTAGGTGTGCCTTGCAATAGCTCATTATTCTCAGCCGACGGATCTTCAGCTTCTCTTTGCATTTGAGTATGTTGGGGAAATGTATCATAATCCAGGTAAGGATGAAGGTACTTGGATTGTGCTTTTTTTCCTGTTTTGTAATATGTATTTTTAGTAAGACTTCTGTCCAGAAGCAGTGGCAAAAAGCATTTGAGGCTTTCTCCAAGGGTAACAAAATCAGCTTGTTCTGCACCCAGCCTCTTATGGTTATAAGTCGTTCATTGGGATAGACGTTAACGACCAAAATTCAAAGCAATGTCTTTCCTGTCTGAAACAAAGCCAAACTGTGGCAGCATGAATACTCCTATTTCTCAGTTCACGCTTCCATCCTCCTGTTGTATGTCTCTGTTGGTACTCTGGGTACCCAGTGAATGTCCCATCAGGCAGGCTTGCTCACCTGCCCTTCTTTTGGGAATAAGTTTCTCTTCTGGTGGTATTGCAGGAGGATTTGTGCAACTTGGGACTCCATACCTTCTTTCCTAGAGGCTTACTAGGCAGTTCTTACCACTCAAAACCTCCACCACCCCTGCTGAGCTGGAGCACACCCTCTCTGCTCAAGGCCAATCTCCAAGTGAACCTTGTCAGTTAGGTAAGCCTGCAAAGATGCCTTTGGAACTTGATTTTGAGCGTAATGCTGTGCGGTCACTGCCGAGTGTTCCCCAGCCCAGACACAGCTGAGAGCCAGCGTTGTAGGGTGACAAGGCTCCCACAGAGCGTGCTGCTGCTGCTGCAGAGCTGTGCTGTGAGATCTGAACTCAGCAGCTGCCACTAGAAACCACTCATCTGCCTGTTACAAAACATCAACCTTGTGGAATTACGAGATCAGGCCTTCAAATTTGCAAAACAGTGCATGGTTCTCATCCATGGTTTTGCCTCTATGACTGCCCTGTGCATGCACAAGAATAAGTGTGCATGTGATTATTATGTTGCACACACAATTACACATGGAATTTCTTACCTCATAAAGCTTGGGCAATTATTAAGGTCCATGTATTTTCCTGTTATAAAGTACTAGGGAGGAAGCCAATTTGCAGATAAAATTGCAATAAAATGTTAGGCTGTCACAAAGTTGCCTTCACTCTCTCTTTAAAATACCATTTGCTATATGGAAAAATACCTAGTGGAAGAATTACATAAGGTGGGTAAAAATGTTCCTCTGGAGCAGCAGAGCAGAATGGCAAAGGAGAGTTGTTCTGCCATGCTGCAGTTCCCAAGAGAATATTAAATTCTTTTGGGTTGTGTTGGGGTGTTCTTGTTGTTGTGAACCCTGGTTGTTTGTCCCATAGATATCTGGCTTTGCTCTTGCAATTCCAGTGCTGTTTAATGACTCTCTCTCCCTGCTACTCCCAGCAAAGTAAAAGGTGAAATGCTGTCTTTGTGCTTCCTGGGGAACATAAAAAGCCTGCATTGTTCTCGTGTATGTCTACATTGTTTTCTTCCCAGGCTATATTTGATAGTTATATATCCTGCCATTAAACAGAAAAATTGACCTTTTTTTTGGTAATTTTCATATTTCTCTGTTTACCCTCTTTGAAGAATTATTTCAGTCTGATTTTAGTCCTGTTTTTTTCTGAAAATCCTAAGTAGTCAAAGTGCCAGTGCAAGAATGAAGTTGATAGATACAGAAAGCAGAAACCACACAGGTTATGGGATGTCAGCAGAGCTGTGACACTGCTTTCTTTGGGCAGGCTCTTGCTAAGGCTCAGAGCTTTCATGGGGGAGGTAGTAGGGCTGAATTTCAGTTTATTCCACTTCCATCTAAAAATGTACTTCAAGTGTCAAGAAACAAAATGTAATTTCTTTTTGACACAGCTGACTGTCCCCTTGGCATCTAAAGAATGACCAGCAAAGGAGATCCTTCTGTATAGTAACAGCCTTTCTAAGCTCCTGGTCCCTAAACAAAAATTGATAGGCCATCTTTTTGTGTAGATATAAATCTATATAGAAACCTCAGTATTTTAACATGGCCTTCCATTTCTTTTATTTGCTGTTAATACAGCAGTCATTTAAAGTTGCTGAAATTATATAAGTTTTATTTTGCTTTATTGACATGGTAGCTATTCATTAATAGCTATAGCCTATAAAGGGTTAATGTTTTAAAATGTTGCAACTTTGGCATATTAAAGAAGGAAAACCTGTGACTGGAGATAACATTTGTCCCTGAGTATTATTATGCCTTGGCTTCTATCAAGCAGCACAGCAGGCAAATTTTATGTTGCTTTTCTAATGAAATTGCAGGGAAAAATACATTGACATCTTCATGTATCATCAAGCTGCCATTAAATCACTGCTTTCTTGTAATACAGCAGTAGGTAATATAGATAATACTAGTCCTGTTGCTAATGGCTTATCTTTGTAATTAGGAAGGTGAAGAGTTTGATTTTTATCTATTGTTTTTAATGGGCATTGATGACTTTCCTTTTCCTAGCAAAGAAGGTGAATGGCATAGACCCAGGAGGAGGTGGCATCGGCAGTGCCAGCGGTCAGCAGACTCCTTTGTTTGAAACTTACTCGGACTGGGATAGAGAAATCAAAAGGACAGGTGCCTCTGAGTGGAGAGTGTGCTCAGTCAATGAAGGTTATATGATCTCCACTTGGTAAGTGTCTCCTGGGACACCAGCAGGAGGGAACTGGGCTGTCTTGTCCTGTGTGCCCCACAGCCTCTGTCGCAGCCGGCTGTGCATTGCACCTCCTAATTGTGCTGCTCTCTGGAGAGGCCCCCAGGCAAAAGATGCTGCAAGTCCTGTCCCTGAAGGAGATGTCATGTCCCTAAGGGAAATGTCACGTCCCTAAAGGAAATGTCATGTTTTGGCATCCATGGCTTTGGTGCTTCTGTACTTCCATGTGGGACAGTGGCAGCCATGCCCAGGGGCTGCTCTGGGATAGCCTCACTGAGCTGGTAACACAGCACTGCAGCAAGAGGGAAGATGGTAAAAAACACAAAGAAAAGTAACCTTCTTTTATCATGTTTTCTTCCACAAGCCTTCCAGAATATTTTGTGGTTCCATCTTCCTTAGCAGATCAAGACCTGAAGCTGTACTCCTATTCCTTCATTGGGAGGAGAATGCCTGTAAGTGTCCTCTTTGTTATGGTACTGCTCCTGCTCATTGCACAGTGTTCAGCTTGGGGCTCTGCATGCCAGTTAACATTGCATCAAGGAAATAATTGTACAGAATAGCTCTAACCTGCACGATTTTGTTGTTCCTTGTGTTTTTTCCCCATGTTAGTTATGGTCCTGGAATCACCCCAACGGGAGTGCCCTTGTGAGAATGGCCAACATTAAAGATGTATTGCAGCAGAGAAGAATTGATCAGAGGTAAGTGATTCTTTGTGTCACTCTTCAGTCAGAGGGTTGGGATAACACCCGTGGTGACTGTGACAGCACTGGGGGGCAGTGGAGGTGACCCTATATGACACTGCAATATTGTAGTGTGGGAACTTTGGAGAGACTGTTCTCTGGATCTGGTTCTGGCACAATTTTTATTCAAGGCCATTCCAGTTTCAAATTCTGAGTAACTTTACAGGTTTTAAGGTATGTTTATTTTTTAGGGGGATAACCATTCACATGACAGAATTTATTGATAAAAGGATCAGATTTACTATAATACAGCTTACATTGGTGGAGATTTTCTTACCTCCTTCAGCAAGACAGTAAAAAAACCCCTTCATTTGTGGCATTGGGAAATACAATTCAATTGTGCAATACAATTCAAGACTTAGTATCATAATGCACATGGTATTTCTGTGAAATATTTGTCATATGCTGTCCTTAATGAAAGACTGAAGGCATTTAGTGCCTGGTGTAGGTAGTTTATAAACTTAGTTGTTTTTGTTCTTTGGTTTAATTTGTAGTGTGACTTTTTGTAGTAGCGCAAACATCTGCATTGTGTGTTAGGCTGGAGCTCTGAGTTTTAATTGAAACCCTGTCAGATTTCCTGACTTCATAAACTTTAAATATGTTCTCTGCATTTAGCATGGGTAAGTCTTACTAAAAATGATGGAAAACTAAAAACTGAATAGAGTTATTTAACTGTCAGTCAGCATCAGATTTCATTTCTCAAATGTGATGTTTTAATGATCCATTAAAACATTTCCATTTTTTATATTCAGTAATTAGCAGACACCAAAAGTGTTTGAGTCAGTAGCTTTATGGCAGGAGCAATGTATCTCCTGAATATGAACCAGTAAACTATTTTTTAGAGTGAGGTGCATGTTTTATGTGGGTTTAATTGTTTGCAGTTAGACAGTAGCAGGCTTCTTGAAAGACTGTTTCTTTCCTCTCCAACAATAAACCTGCTGATTCTTCTCCTGCAGGATTTGTAATGCCATAACTCGAAGCCATCCCCTGAGAAGTGACGTTTACAAATCTGACCTGGACAAGTGTCTCCCCAACATCCAGGAAATCCAGGCTGCATACAACAAACTCAAACAGCTCTGTGTCAATGGTATGCTGGGCTTTCCTTCTCTTATGGGGCTGTTTTGCTGACATGCAGTGAATTCTGATCAGCCTGGCTGACAGGGACTGTCACTGGAAGCTGTTCTGCAATGTAATTGCTGTCCCTGTTGCAGACCCTTTTGATGACACCGAAGAGAAGTGGCTGTCCTCGCTGGAAAACACTCGCTGGTTAGAGTACATCAGGTTGGTACCATCAATGTAATAATGTTCAGTGGAATGTGCAGAGCTCTCAGCACTGTAAATGCACTGTGCATCATTTGAAGGATTCTTTGTTTTAATATAAGTTAGATAAATACAGATAACCCAAATCTTTTTCTTGTAAAGTGTGAATTTCTGTTAACTCTTAAATCACTTTCTTTTCCTTTCCAGAGCCTTTCTTAAGCATTCTGCTGAGCTTGTCTATATGATGGAGTGTAAGCATGTTTCTGTAGTTCTACAAGGTAATATAACACAAAGCATGCTGTAATTATTTGCATTACTGTGATAATGTAGATAAACAGATTTAGATAAAATCAGCTGTAATCTTTGTACATAAACCCCACGGATTCTGAATATCTCAAGCATTTGGGGAGCTAGAAGGGAAAATAATTTTGTTATGTATCTGAACTGTAGTATAGTCCTTAGCATCAAAGGAATATTTTGCTTTGAGTCTTTGTGGGTTTTGTTCTGATAATGATGGTAGAACCAAAACTTTAGTGTGAACCTTTGTACTGTGTTAATTGGGCTAATAGTCCCTGCAGAAGCAATATCAGTTTAATTCAGAGGTTCTACAGACAAAAGCATTTCACTCAGTGCCTACTCCTTGTGTCTGTGCAAACAGATATTTCAGAGGAAAGGACACTGAAACACTTGCTCATATCCGTAATCCTGTAATTTCTGAAGTTTTTATAAGACCTGTTCAGCTGGTATATCCCACTCTCCCCATGTAATGGCCTTCCAAAAATTGCTTCAGGGTGGAAAAATGTTGAAAATTTTAGCAGCATGAACCCTCTCCTCAGAACACCTTGATTTAAGTACTGGGCAGTTGGGTGGGTATTTTGTTCTTGATGAATGCACTGCTGTGCTGGGTGCTGCAGGAACCCTTTCTGTACTATGAGTCTCAGTTAAAAAAAAGTGTGATTTTCTTCTAGTTTGGTTTTTTTAAAAATTATGAGAACAATTAAAACAACTATTTTGAAGGAAATTCTAATTAAAACATGAAACCTAGCTGCACCTTTTTGCTCTTTGAAATCTGACTCTGTACATGTGCATTTGCCTTATGTATTCTGTGCTTTCTGTATGTCACTCACAGAGGAAGAGGGACGGGACCTGAGCTGTCTTGCTGCTTCTCTCATTCAAGTCATGCTGGATCCCTATTTTCGAACCATTGTTGGATTTCAAAGCCTGATACAGAAGGAATGGGTCATGGCAGGATATCAATTTTTAGATAGGTGTAACCACTTAAAGAGATCTGAAAAAGAGGTAAAAATTAATTCTATTTGCATGTGATCACAGTATCTGCTTGATATTGTCCTGAACATGTATTTATACAGAAATCTAAAAGTAAATATATGTTTTAATATTATAAATCTCATTATATAGTATCAGAGGAAGTAACTCTTTTTCCAGGGTAGGGATACTTTTTCTTTACTCTCTGTAGCCATGTGAGAATCAGTGCAATACCAGGTGCAATCCTGTGGGTTATTATGTTGCTTCAGGGTTGCACATGAAAGCATCTCACTGCTACAAACACTAGCACAGTCACGTTTCAAACTGAAACCAAAGGAGGAGTGGGGTTGGAGGGGGTGGTTTTGCTGTGTGTGTTACCAATCCCTGTTTCCATCCCTGTGCTGTTATCACTCAGCAGTGCTTTCAGAGCTGGCAGCTGCAGGAGCACCCCCACAGCTGCATGAGCTGACATTGCTGCCAGAGGTGAAGGAGGGGAGCACAGGGCTCTGCTCCCAGCACTGCCAGCTCCTGTTTGGCCTCTTCATGGCAAAGGAGTGGCTGCTGACTGCAGCTGGAAGCAGGCAGAACCCAGGTTAGGAAACTTTTAGGGACAGTGGCCAGAGTCACACAACAGGAACGTCCCCAGAGCGTGGAACCCACAGATAAACCAAGGGCACTGAGCACCAAGCAGAGAAAATGCATGAAGGGATAAAGCAATGAGATGCCAAGAGGGAAATAATGAAAAGCAGCTATTTTGGCCCTAGGAAAGGATATATTGAAAAGTGAAAATGGGAAGATATTTCTAAAGCTTTACATAAATGATAGTTTATACTTTTGCAATTCATGGGCTGCTATGGAAAAGACATAAAAAATGTGGTGAGAAATTAGCATGGCTGAATCATAAGCTCTCCAGTCATTTCAAACAAGGAAGAAAATACAGTGTAAAACCAAGGCCAAGGGGCAAGGAAGGCTCATACAAGAGCTAATTTGGAAATGATGAGGGACATATAGATGGCAGAAAGGATTTTTGCAGCTGCACAAATCCTTGTGTATGAGGGGAGCTCAGGAAAGACGTTTTTACACAGAAGGGAAAGCTGTGCAAAGGTAGTGCTGAAAAAGATGTGGCTAAACAGGAATATAGAGTGTAACAATTGCATAGAATCATGAAAAATGCAAGACTCCAAATAGTTTACCCTGTGGTTGAATAATGTACCAATGGTACAGCCAAATACCAAAACTGCAAAGAAATGGGTTTGATTTGGGAAAAGCTTATGTTAAATCTGATCATTCCTTGTTTCTTTTCCCAGTCTCCTTTGTTCTTGATGTTCCTTGACTGCGTTTGGCAGCTGCTGGAGCAGTACCCAGCAGCCTTTGAGTTCTCTGAGGTGTACCTGACCGTCCTGTACGACAGCGCCCGCATCTCCTTGTTCGGCACCTTCCTCTTCAACTGCCCCCACCAGCGAGTCAAGGAGAGCACTGTGAGTAGGAGGGGCTGCCCCTGCTTGTCCAGCAGCACACTGCAGCCTGCCCCCCTGGCAATAACAGCATCCCCGTCAATGCTTCCTGTGTGCCCTTCCAATTGTCACGCTCTGTTTGGGGCTAAACACTCAGGTCCCCAGGTGAATACAGTCATAATGACTTTCAGGTGATCTGTGCAGAGACACTGACTAACTATTCAAGAGGAAAGTCTATTGAATTTATTTGTGGTTTTTTCCCTAGGAAAATGTTGCTACTCTACATTGTTATTTGTACTCCTCTAGGAAGCAAATCTGTATCTGGAACTCAGAAAGTAGAATGAAAGGCAATAAATAGAATTTCATGCTTCAGGCAAACTTCGAAATCTCTTGACATAATTGTTTAAATAGTTGAAAAGGTTGCAGATGCTGCATAAAGTTGCAATAGTAATGCACAATGGAGGCATTTAGAAAACTGAACACTTGAATTTGTTTTTGAAAACGAGCTTGTCAGAACTGTGTGTAGAAAACATTTAATGGCTGATAAAAGTGAAACTTACTTTTTCATTAAATATTTCGCCTTTAAAGTTATAGGTAGCAACTTTACAAAGAAGTAGAGCATTGAGGGACTATTGGTGAATTCTCAAAATGCCAGTTTGGGGGTTAAGAGTAAGCCAACAACCAATTTAATGGAATTGAGAAGTAACTGCACAAATGCAGAGCAGCTGTTTTCTTCAGCTGTTGTGCTACCCTGCTCCTCTTTCCCCCATACTTACACACTGGCTTTAAGATTCATGAGAAGCCCATTTTCTTTGATTTTAATCTGCCTGAATGTTAACTTCTTGCAGGAATTTGCTATAAGCAAAAACATTCAGCTGGGTGATGAGAAAGGCCTCAGGTTTCCGTGTGTTTGGGACTGGTCTCTGCAGTTCACAAGTCGGGACCGGCTGCTGTTCCACAACCCGCTGTACGTCGGCAAGAGCGCGCCCAGCGTGCACAACGGGGCCCTGCGCACCTTCAAGCGCTCCAAGGTACCGGGGGGGTCGCAGGGGCTCTGCTCACACTCAGGGCTCGTGCTGGGGACGCTGCAGGTGCCACTGGATTAGCAGTAGGAGCCTTCTTTGTCTTGGCTTCCCAGCCTAAAGAAATTATTTTCTGTAGAAGAAATGATGTAAATTTTTAAGCCTTGTGTTTTAGGATATTTTCTGATGTGGCCAAGTCACTGCCAACATTTGCATTATTTCACCTTTGGAAAAGTGATGACAGGCCACTTTTTCCCCTGGGGTTGTCAGTAATTTCAGTAAATACTGATTATAAGTCTATCATTTGTTGCTACAAAAACCATATGTATTTCTTTTTAAAGGCCACAGTTTGCCCTGTGAGCCCTGCAGTGACTCAGAAGCTCAGAACTATTTAAAGGTCACAGCATTTGTCTGGATGATGCACCCTGGCAATTCAGGGAAATTTACTATTCCAATGAATGTAGAACTGGAAAATTACCAGTATTTCTTTTCTGCAGAAAAACTACAGCTCCACATTGCGAGGTGTCCCCCCAGCAATAAAGAACGGAATCATCGGTGAGCAGGAGTTCGTTCCAAGAAGAAACTCTCTGATTCTAAAATTGAAGCCGGAGTTTTTGCACTCAGCAGAGGGGCAGAGCCACAGCATGGAGCAGTACTTCAGAGACTGGTTTGCAAAGCCCGTGGATTTGCACGGCGTCATTCTGCCCCATCTCTCTGGAACACAAATAAAACTGTGGAAACTCTGCTACTTCCGCTGGGTTCCCGAGGCGCAGATCAGCCACGGCGGCTCCATCACCGCCTTCCACAGAGTTTCTCTGCTAGCAGATGAGGTGGACATGTTAAACCGCAGCCTGCGGCAGTACAAGAGCAACTCCTCCTTGCCAGGCCACTGCTCAGAACTGGATCAAAGCAGGATGTACTTCAGAGCAAATGGTTTAAATGACACCTCAGGCACCCCAGACTTTCTCTCCTCCTCATTCCCATTTTCTCCTGTAGGGAACCTATGCAAACGGAGCATTTTGGGAACACCTTTAAGCAAATTTTTAAGTGGTGCCAAAATCTGGCTATCCACCGAGACGCTTGCAAATGAAGACTGAGGTGGTGTGGAGGTTTAAAGGTTTGAGGAGAATACAGCATATCATTTTGTCTTTTCTAACTTAACACTGCTAAATGCGACATTGAAAGCTGTAATAATTTTTATATACAAACATTACGTAAGATTTGCACAAATATTTAAAAGCAAGGCAAGTCATGCTTCAAATCGCACAATGTTGTCTTCAGTAGTTCTCATCTGCTGGGGCTTCTGCTCCTCAATTCCTCCTGTTCCTGGGGGTTTGGCTCATTACAAGTGATAGAGCATTTCATTAGCTAATTGAAAGGCTTGGTGTGGTTGTTAGTGAGGGTTCTGCTTGGAATAACCTTTGTTTTTCCAGATAGTGACTGAAGTGACCCTTGGATAAAACAGCTTGGAAAGCCAAAGTACTGCAGTGGAGATGAAGTGACAGCTGAAATCTGGGATATACTATTTTATCAGTCTGCCTCTTCAGGAGTAACACTTACTTGCATAAATACAAACATACCAATGCTCCATGACTGATCACCCTACATTGTGCTAATGCAGTGTATCCATGGAAGGGCTTGTTCCCTTTTCTTTCTCTTCCCAAAATGTGTTCATTAACATTAGTCAGATTTGTGCTCTTTGTCATGAGCTTGACTTTAGACTAGAGAAATCCACATCAGGACAATGCACTGTTAACCTTAAAACATTTACTGTAGATATGGTATTGCAGTAGCTTTAGAAGTGCCTTTATTTGGGAGGAAACAGTAGCAGGATTACTCTAATGCAGCTGACACCCCCCCCCCCCAACTTTTTAAAACAGATTGTTGTGGCAAGTTCTTGTTCCATCCCCTGCTTCCCCCTCTCATTTCTGGAAACAACAGGCATCCAGAAGAAGCAGCAGGTGTTCCCTCTTTAAGGTTAAACTTGTTTGTAATTCCCACAAGACTCTCTCACCTTTTTATAAGAGCACCTCAACTACGCAGCATTATATCCCTGCACAGATCCCAATCCCTGCCATCCCTCTCCTCATTTCTTTGCAGGATGAAGTAGCTTGCAGCAGAACTCACACCTGAGCCCTGCTGGGTTCCAGAAAGGAGCACTGGCTCCTCATTGCCACTTCCACAAGGGGTGCAGGTGCTGCAAGGAGAGCAGTGAGTGGTGCCTTCTTTTTGCAGACTGAATATCCATAGGGACAGTCAATGAACAAGCACTGCCTGAGGGAATTACATCCAACAGCCTCCTTCCTTCTGCTTAATGCAGCAGCCTCCTTGTTGTTCTGAAACCTTTTTAAATGATGCCTCTCCCTGGATGCTGTGCCACAGGAGGACTCACAGGGAGAAAGGATGAGTGTGAAGAATTCCAGGAGGTTGGAGAAAGAGTGCTGCGTCATTCTCATAGGTTAAGGCTCCTGTCAACTGCCTTCTCTGAACAGCAAGGCTGTATTTTGTATTAAATTATTTCTGTATAAACACCAACACTGTTGAACTGACACTGAGCCTCCATCCAGGTATTGCCTCACCAGTTTAGGGCACCAAAGGCCTTATAGAATGGGCTCAGAGCTGCTCTCAGTTTTCTCAGGGTGGGGAAAAAGAAAGCTGCAGGATAGGAATATGCAGTGTGTTCAAGTGTAAAAAAGGGGGAGGGGATAGGACTTGGAGATCTTTGTTTGTAAACCCAAACTGATGTTCAGCACAGCCTAAATCACAAAGTGGGGTTTGGCTCCCAGGCTGGTCTGTGACCTCCAAGGCTGTGCTTTGCCTGCACTGCTGGGGCTGGAGAGGGAAGCAGGGCAGGGCCAATGCAGAGGTGAACAATGTCAGGGGAGGGGGGTTCCTTTTGTACCTTACCAAGCTTCCAAACCCGTTCCTATGCAAAGAAGCTGTTGTGTGTGTGCTGTGGGCAGGCACAGGCTGTTGTGACACAATGCCAGGGCTCCTGGGCAACTGTTTGTGAGGAAAAAACGTGTATTCACCTCAATTGCCTAATTATGCTGCAAGATGAGCTGAGCATGTTGAATGGTCCACAAACCAGTTGTGTTTATTCCCAAGCTTGCTTCAGTAGTCATCTCACTTGTTCATTATTCAAACGTTTGTTTTAGTTTGCTTTTGCCATTCCTCTTTTCCCATTAGCTTACTGCTTTCCCTGGCCTGATACTTGACATAAAGACCTCAACCTGTGTGCTTAGTGTCTTTTGGTACCAATTTTGTTTTCCTTTTAAAATGACAGTCAAAACTATAATGTCTTTTTTTTTCTTTCCTTAAAAGTATAACTTCTTTGGATTAAAGGTACCAAAACTGTGTAAATAAATTACTCCACAAAAGCAGCTGGTGGAATGAAAAAATGCTTAGGCTAGTACCCTTTGGGGGAAAAATGGGTACTATATTTAAACAGAATTGTCTTTTATAAGGAGATTTCAGACATTTTTACATTTCAGTTCTAAGATGTGTACAGATGCTGCAGAGGGACTTTGTATTTTATATATATAGCATGGGAGAGGGTTAAAAATAATATGCCTTTATAATAAACAAAACCTGTCGAAATATCTATTTGCCAAACAGACTTAAAAAGAAATTTTTTACCATTCCAAAAAGGGAATTAGGTAAGCAGAGGCTGAGAAGGGGGCACCTCCTGCAGAGAGGAAGGGAAGGGTTCCAACTTTCCCTAGGCTTGAAGACAAGGTTCTGCTTCCTTGCTGAGGAGCTGCTGTGCCTGTGGATGCTGCTGCTTCCTCTGAGTTCAACAGCTCACTACTTTCAGATTCACTTTTGATGGACAGGTACCAAGTGTTGATTGTGAATATTCTCCACTCTGCACAGTTGCCTTATCAAGTCAGTAGGGACTGTTCTGAATATCTTTAATAACTTTCAAAAGCAATTTTAGGGTGTGAGTATGTATCTTACTTCTGTGTACAGAATACTGACATGCAAGTGTGTGTATATATATGTCTCTGTATATATATGTACACGTATTTCCAAATTTTCATTTCTGTTCACCATTTAAAGCAACATACTGTTAAATGCCATCTTTGTGTTGCAGAGTAGAAAAGCTCCCAAGCAGCTCATCCCTTTGTGTTTGTAAAAAATGTGCGTTGCTGCAGCTGTTCCTGGCTGAGTCATGGCTTTGTGCCACCCAGGGGGAGCTCTGCAGTTGCTGCAGCTGCTGGCCCCAGTGCAGGGCTGGGCTCAGGGCAGGGCTGGGGCTGTGGTGCCCCCTCAGCCTCCAGGCACTGCCCTGTGCCCCCAGGAGTGAGAACTTTGTGTGTCTGCCCAGGCTGCACGTGTGCTTCTGCCTGCAATACCACTCTGAACAATTAACTGCCTTGTGTTTCAATGAAAATGTAGCAAGCTGGGCAAACCTTTTGGCTTATTCTCAGATGGAAATATATTAAAACCAAAAAATTCTAACGTGTATTTAAGCAAAGGACGAAATCTTAAATTTGCCTCTAACCAAGAGACAGAAATTTGTACCTCAAATTGCTCTAGGCAGTAGGTTTCTAATGCTGTTGCTGTGATGGTTTAGAGTTCACCATTTCAACTGAAACTAAAACCTTTGTGCCTGATAATGATTTACTGAGTAGCAGTGGCAGGAAGATTATAAAATCCTGATGCTGAGTTGTGAATGTGAAATAAATTAGAGTCAATAAAAGTTCGTACCTTTCCACAGTGAATTTCAGGTGATTTCTTTCCCTTCCTCTAACAAAAAAAATGTGTGTGTGTGGTTTTTTCCAAGAAAAGCATGGACACTGTGCTATAGAAAGATGATTAATAAAAATGATGTGCAAATTATCTTATTTCTTGCTATGTTCTATTTTAGTGTCTGCAGTTTGCATAGTGAACAGAATTTCTCATAGAAGGGAACTTACTCAGTATGAGAATGAAGACTCCAAAGAAAAGATGTTGGCTGTGTGTTAAAATTAGGAGAAACCCACAGGATTTTGGTGTCTTAAAATGGAATTCATCTTTTTAGTTCCAATTGACTGACATACTTCTGAATGAGCAAACACATCAGTTTATGTAGGGCAGAACTGACTGTACTGAATGTGGTCATCTTGGCACTGACCAACTCCTGTCCACTACCAGAAATATTTCCCTTTATACAGGTAATACACATAAACAGAAGGGGCTGTTAAATAAATTATCCTTTCATACACATTAGAACAGCATTAATGCTTTATGCCCTACTCTCTGCCACCTGTATCTGTTTATTGTACAACTGCAAAATTCAAATACATCATGGTAAGTGGGGACAGACAGAGAATCACACTGGACCTGACAATCCTGGCAAGGGGCTGAACTCGAATCTTGCAAGGAGACTTGCCCAATATAATGAATTTAGGGCACCCTGCAAATAAGCAGCACCTGATGGCCCAGTTTCTGTATGGTAGAGATGGTCTCAGGTCTTCACACTTGAAGGCAGCTCTTCTCCTCGCTGGGCAAAGCCCAGATTACCTCAGAGAATAAGTCAGGAATTGAGGAGAGAAAGGAAGGGCTCTCCTCTTCTGAACACAAAGTGACATGCAGTAAATCATATTGGCAGTTTTCTCAAATTACATTTTAGAATGTTTTGTGCTAAAAAGGACTATGGTAATGTTCCAAGAAACCAGAATTTTAGAAGAAACTATTTTTATTAATCAGCAGTCATTGGTGTGTGCGACCCATTCCTTTAGGAACACCCCAGTTGCCCACATGATCCAACCTGTGTCAGCTGAGGCATTTGCTCTTGCCCCCAACGTCCTGCACGTGACAAACCTCCACTGCAGCCCCCAGCTCATGCAGCTCACTCAGCCACAGCACCTGCTTGGGCGACAGGCGGTCGTTGGGGCCCTTCACCTCCACCAGCTACAAGGAAAGGGGCATGGTTACAAGTGTGTCCCTGGAGGAACTGAAGGATCACTAGCTCCCACACAAGAAGTATTTTTAACAGCTGTTATTTGCAACAAAAGTAATGGAGATCTTAGCACAATGGAGGGTCCAGTGGGTGCTGAATTATTACTCCATATTTCAAAATTTAACTGTAAGAGAATGAAATTTTATATAGTAAATACCCACCAAAACAAAGAGAAGCCCTGGTGAATGAAGATCTCTCATACTGCAAAATCAAATGTCGGCACCCTCACCTGCTCCAGCTGATGCTGACAGCAGCTTATCCAGGTGCCCTAGAGAACTAATTTCTGCTATTCAGCTCTGTACCATAAACACATAACAAGCTGCTCCAACAGATGAGATGTCCAATAGTCCTCTAGCAGCTATTCCGCTACTGTGCAAGGCACCATCCATGACTGTTTACTCAGTTTCTGTAGCAGACACAGACACAGTTGCTGTGGACTCAAATAGTGCAGATTTTGTCTAAGTGCTGCCAGAAGAACTCCTTGCTAACAACAGTCAATGTGTGGCTGATTGTAACAGGTGCTTTAGATTATGATTAATCAAAGACCTTTTCTACAGCACTGCTGAGCATGTCTGCTCCCTACACCCACTAGAGGAGCAGATAATCACCCAGTGCTCCATGGGGGCAGGGAAGCTGAGCTGCAGGAAGGAAATCACCATTTGTGTGGGCTGACAAGGGCAGGGTTTTACCCTGGGAAGGCAGCTGAGCACTGGGTATTGGGGTTCCACAGAGGGAAGGCAGCTGAGCACTGGATATTGGGGTTCCACAGAGGGAAGGCAGCTGAGCACTGGATATTGGGGTTTTACACTATGAAGGCAGCTGAGCACTGGGTATTGGGGTTCCACAGAGGGAAGGCAGCTGAGCACTGGGTATTGGGGTTCCACAGAGGGAAGGCAGCTGAGCACTGGGTATTCCGTGCTCCCCACCCACCTTGAAGTGCTGGCTGTGGGAGCGCCACACGAGCAGGTCGGGCAGGCCGCCCCGGCAGTGCCGCAGGTTCCTGGAAAGCCGCTGGAAAACACCACTCAGGAACCTCCCTCCAAGGCAGGACACCAGGCTCTGCAAGAGAGGCTTTGCTGGTTGGTTTGGGTTGGTTTAATTTCCTACAGAACCATTTCCCAGCCCTCACAAGAATACTGTTCCAAGAATACTGCATGGCCCACCTCAGCTCTTTGTTCAGTCTCAGGAAACATAACAAGAAACATAAGTAGATGTTTCTTACATCAATTTTCCTGCTGTGTTTCTTACATAAATCTTCCTGCTGTGTTCTCAGCTACTGTTACAGGAAAAGTGACCATATGAGAAAACTGTAACACTACTTGTGCAGGGACTTCAGCACAATAATCCCTAATTCCAATTCCTGCCTCCCACCACTCTCCATCTGCCATGGCTCAGTGCTTCAATAAAGCCACCAGGGCCATGAGTAATTGAATGTCAAGCCTAATTGGAGTGCCCATGCTGGGCAACAGCCACTTACCTGGACTTGCTGGAGGGAAGTAAAACGTCCCCAGTTAACCAGGGCTGCTGCTTTTCCCTCCTGAGTGCTCCAGACGTCAGCAACCAGCTCTGCCAGCGTCTCTGAGGAAGCTGTGTGAAGCTGCTGGAGCCTGGCCTCGATGACAGCCCTCCTGTTCTCATAGAAACTGTCAGTGTATAAATCCAGGGGGGATGTCTGGATGAAAAGGTAAATCCAGCTCTCAGGAACTGCCATCACAGCAGCTGTTCCCAGAATGACAATGTCCTGCTTCATATTTTCCTTAACTACAAAGTCAATCAAACATTGAGCTGATTTATCTTGAACATGACCACCATATAAATATTTATTAAATGGGAGAAAAAAGCTTATGTTTTAACACCCAGTGCCAGTGCAACAAACACTGGTCCATCTCGGCCTCTGCTCTGTTGTTTTGAACCCTAGACAGAGGTTTCCTTTAACAGACAAAGAATCCTGTGCAGTAGTTCCAGGTGGATCTGGAACCGGGATCAAGACAGCTCAGGCACAGTGAGCCG